TCCATTGTTTTCATTCCCATACTGGGGAGGGGGGGGGAGGAGGAGGGAGGATGGTGGGGGGGGAAGAGGAGGGGGAAGGGGGGGAGGGGGGGAGAGGAGGAAGAAGGGGGAGGGGGGCAGGGTAGGTGTCCTTAAGTCAGGGGGAACGAAATTGAGGGCCCTCAGGGAGGTTATCTCTGCCCTGACAACCACAGCCCTCGCTCCTCTCCCCAGTTTTCTCGAACACACTTCTCTTCCCCCTTTCTCTCTCTTTGGGTTCTTACCGCCGCGGATGCCGCCTCTGCACCTCCTCCATGTCTCGCCGCTCCTGTACCGCTCACTTCCGCCCTCGGACCGGAAATCGCCTTCCAGGAAACCCTCCAAGTGACGCGTCTGCGTGGCGGAACAACGTCGGTTCACGTCCAGTGGGGGCGGACGTTACGTCAGGTGCCACTAGCGGGGTGGAAGTGTTCCCTTCCGTTGTGTGGGACGGAAGTGATGCCCGTCATTTTGCGGGGCGGAAATATAGTTGGCTCTTTGCAATTGCAACGGGATGGAAGTGCATGGGAGATTGTTTTTGAACAAAAATAAATGTTCGTAACCAGACTCTGTACTTTCTCTTAACTTCTATTGATTCCCCCCACCCTTTCGGCTTCAGTTCTCCTTCTCCATTGTTTTCATTCCCATACGAATGCAGCAGATACACCAGCATCAAGTGGTTGGACCGAACGGCCTTTTCCTCTATTTGTCTACCATTGTGCATTGCTCTAGCCTCAGTCCATGTGTCGGTGCATTGACCACATCCCTCTTCCAGCACTGCACCTGAACAACGAATCATAGAATGGGACCAGCACCATTTGGCCATTACTGCACTCAGAACGTTAATTCTATTTCTCAATCCACAGATGCTGCTGAGTTTCTCCATCACTTTGTTTTTATTTCAGAGTTCCAGCATCTGCAGTATTTTACATTCATTTGACCCATATCGTCTTCCCCATTAAGGATCAATTTCCCAAAGAGTACCATCTCCTACCAATTCCTGCAGCCCTGCACATTTTTCCTTTTCAGTCAATGATCCCTCCTAAATGCTTCGACTGAACTGACCCCTGCCACCAAAAAATGTGAAACAGCGCATTCCACTCACAGTGTGGAAATTTTTTCTCCTTGTCACTACTACTTCTTTGGTCAATCACCTGTGCAAGTGCCAACAGTTTGTCCCTGTCTACTCTGTCCAAACCCTCATGACTTTGAACACCTTTGTCAAATTCCTCTCTAATTGGAGAACTGTCCTGACTTCTCCAAATGCTGGAATTTTAGTCTATTCTCACTTTGCAAAAGTCAGAATATTTTAAAAGTCTCAGAAAGTAGCCACTCAGATCATCTTAGTTATACTGAATTTTTGAATTGCATCACTTCCTGCTCTTGCCCTCATAGTCCTAGTTATTGCCCTTCTCAATTTTTTATCCAATTATTTTCCGAAAGCAACCACTGAATTTGTTTCATTCAAGCTTTCGGATAGAAAGACCTCAGTTGCATTACTTTGTGGTACATTGCCCTTTGGTATATGTCTGGATCCTCCTCCTCCTGTTACCAAACAAAAGTATAATATCCATTGATGCAATTACGATCCAAAAGGTTCGAAAGTTGATATCTTATCAGTCTGATTGGATAATGCTAAGGTGCTTAAAAGACTACTTAACATAATGATTTATCTTCCAGAAAAGTATCAAAATAATTTACAAAGCATTATGCAATCATAAATTAATTTGTATGAATAGGTCAGAGAGAACATTTTTGGCCATTCATGAATTTAAGGTAGAGGATGCATTACCCATACATACAGAAAATCTTTACCTACTCATTTCCAGAGAAATTAGCTAAAGCAGGGAAGAGCTTATGTTCACAATGGACAATGACATTATTGAACCAAATCATCTTCTCTTATTCTAGGCTCCACCTCATCAGAAGAAATAGTTTGTCTCTTCCTGATATATATTAATCGCCCAGAATTTGGTGTACAGGCACAATTTCAAAATTTGCAAATGGTATAAAACTTAGAAGCATTGTGATCTGTCAAGGGGTCAGTTTAGGATTTAAATAGGACACTGACAAGTAGGTGAATGTGTGGTTTCATAACAATGGATCAGAAAGCTGAATTACTTATGGATATATTGAACTTTTAGACAAGTCGTTTTTTCAGGCAAAGACTTCAAGCTAAGACTGGTTGTAATGTAACATTTAAGAATGAAATTCACTGGGAAACAAAAGATGTCCTATGTGAGCACCTCAAATGAAGCTTCAGGGGAGAGACTTCAAAAAAAGGAACAAGATAATCTAATTACCACCTTTCAAAGTGAAAATATATCCTCTGTGTTATATTCCAGACTGCAGACATGAGTCAAAAGGCATGTTTGTGTTTGACCCTTCTAGAAATATAGAAAAGAGGGTTTAAATAAACAAGCAAATGCACCTCCTATAGTGTGTTTATTAGGGTGTAGATGTACCAGTGGTGGCTGGTATGCTATAAAGGGTTACAGCTTGAAAACAATATTAGACACCCATGCACTGCAAGAAGAAAATACATTACACAGCCACAAAGAATTTGAGTTAACCTGCCAGGCCAAGAAACCCGAGGTTGATTGCTCAGTCACCAATATGAACACTACTGATGTCAACTAACAGCTGCAATGTTCCTCTGTCTATTCTTCTTTATGTGGAGGTGCCAGTGTTGGACTAGGGTGGATGAGGTCAGAAATCACATGACACCAGGTTATAGTCCGACAGGTTTATTTGAAAACACAAGCTTTCAGAGCCTCAATCCTTCTTCAGGAGTTAGAGAGGTATAATCAGACACAGAATTTAGAAGTAAAAGATCAAAGGGTCACACCTCTGGTGAGGATGTATTAAACAAACTTAAGATGCTGTTAAAATCTTTATCAGTTAGAAGGTTTTAATTGATTAATATGTATATGTAAATCCCCAAATTCCTTTCAAGTCATTATCCTGAGAGGACCAAAGGTTTTATCAGTGTAAAGAAGAGGTGACATTTTAATGCACGTCAGGTGTGAGACCTTGTTTAGAACCTGTTTGTGTTTTAGTTTGGAGTCAGACTGGTTTAATTTCTAAAGTAGGAATTTATAAAATGCCACATTGACTGACAGCCTGTTAAATGAGTTCTTTCTGAACAAAATAGAATGCATCTGCAAATTCACCCCATAGATTTGTGTGTGTGTGTGAGAGAGCAAGAGAGAGCACGCAAGAGCGAGAGAGCGTTGACCTGCTCACTGAGCTGGTAAGTTTGTTTGCAGATGTTTTGTCACCTTACTAGGTAACATTATCAGTGCGCCTCTGGTGAAGCTTTGGTGTTCTGTCCCACTTAATGTTTCTGTGTCTCAGTTTGCTGGAGTGGATGGCATCACTTCCGGATTTGCTTCATAGTGGTTGGTATTTGGGGTCTAGCTCTAAATGTTTGTTAACGGAATTCCGGTTTGAGTGCCAGGCCTCCAGGATTCAAGCACACTAACAAGTTTCAATTCTGATTTGCCACTGCGGGATTTGCACACTCCACATTCCCAATTCCATCACCACTACAGCCTAGAAATATAATCACGCATGAAAGCAAGGGACTTGAACGTCACACAAAAAAAACCCAATGAATGCTTTGTTGGTTATGACAAAAGTGGTTTATTCCAAGCAGTACAAGAATCACTTGCATAGAAGGAAATATACATCAAATTTACTAAATGGCATCAACTGCTTTCCACATTGACTTCGACTTTGCTTTGAGGGACCATTTGAAAGACAAGACATATAATAAGTCTTCAATGACAAATCTCACACAGAAAACATCAGTGAAATTGGGAAATAAAGTTCAGATATTTCATAAAAGCAGCATGTCATACATCACCTAAATAGTTTTAAAGAAATACATAAGTTTGAATTGTGCGTATTGTTTAGTCCCACAGACGTGGCACACAAAAAGTAAAAATTCTAAGGTAAAAACTAGAGACGCAGAGATTTTTGCCTAATTTACTAATTCTATTCCCAGGGCGTGACCCAGTTCCAACCAGATGGTTAGGCTCCAACAAATCGAAAACAAAAGCTGTTTTGAGTCCAGGTGATTTTTTTTGTTTAAATTTCCAGGATTCATTTTAAAATGTTTATCAAGTAGCAGGTTATTACATTGCAGTGTTCATTTCGCTCCTGTTTGAGGGCATCAAGGAACAGGAAAATTAAATATGCTCTCATTTTGCCCTGTCAACATACAGCTCCTAATGCAACAGGGAGAACACAATGTTTGCCAAAACCTACAGCTCTAGTGTATTCTCACATCCAGCTCATCAGATGAGCCACTGCTCCATTTTCAAACTTAAAGTCATCAGGTTTGTGTGTACTTGTTCCTCTAATTCAGAAGGCCACACTAGTGGTTTCCATGCAAAGGCGATATAGAGATTATAGAGATTGTCACTAAGTGAAAGATATATCAGGGGGATATCATTGAGTGGGTACATAGCATTCCTCTTTAGGGTATTTTTGTTCCAGCCTCCCAGATCAATCTCAATAAATAACTGCTCTCCCATCCTCACAAACACCTATTTACCCTATCACGAGACAGTTTTTGCTGCTTTATTGCAATATAGAGAACCAAACTGCACCTTTTCTATTAGCTCTGCGATGACTGTGACAGGATTTAAGCAGTAAAATCTTTAAGAAGTCACTTTTTTTAAAAAAAGAGGAATACGAATACACCCACATATTTGCACATCTGCCCATACCTTTAGCAGCAAATGAATACAATCGTGCAGACTGAGGAAAATATTATGCAAAAGATGATCATCAAGACCAGATAAAAGCACTTTCTTTCAGTTTTTTTTATTTAAAGTCAGGGGCTCATTGAATGGGTTGTTGACTTTGGTGTCAGAAAATTCAACTGAAGACTACAAAAACAGTTGGGTCGGACGGTACGTCTAAAGTTGCAGATCCGCTGGGTTTATCCTGTAGTCTCCAGGAATCACATTAAATCTACAGGACACTGTTATGAGCGATAGCCAAGAGGATAATCATCATTAGACGCAGCAAAGAAAGAAGTTTTTTTAATTCTGACTTCTTTACGCATTTGTGTTTATTAGTTGCAAAACAATTGGGACAAAGAAGAAAATAGTGTGGCACAGCTGGACGAGAGTCTGAGCCCACTCAAGTTTCCATTCCTCACCAATGGATAGGAACCACAGGTTGAGCGCACTGGACAAGGAAGTAATGGAGGCTAGTTAGTTAACACAAGGACTGTCAGCTTGGATGACAGGTCTGCCACAAACCTGGTGGAAATGCATTCTAGCAGGAACGTCAAATGGTGGCATTTCTAAAAGAGGTGAAAAGGAAATCTAAAATGTAACATGTTGGTGAAATAAAGAATACAAAACTGACACTTCGATACAGTTTCAAAAGGCTTGGAAATGTCCTGTTGTTGCTGATTGTAAGGGCATAGACCTGATATATCTTTCATCTTTTTAAATATGTAACATGTACAATGTTTCTTTGAGCATCACCATTTAAAGATAGTAGAGTCATACCTGCAGGCTTCTTAGAGTAAACAGATGGTCACTCTACTTGAAGAAAGCAAGACATATGCTAACCTTCATCCTGGAAGCCTGTTCCTAAAATCGAGTTTATGTTTTACAAGAGGACAATCCCACTATTCGCTAGTTGCACGGCTCCCTCCTGAAAGTCTTGCAATCCCAAAGTTCCCACTGCAGTGTATAGCAGGGTGAAGACTTTTGACCTGTTCCTGCAAGTTTCCTTCACTTCCTTTAGAGAGTGAATTTCTGCAGGATAATCTCTCAGACCCTCACATGGACAAAGAACCTGAATGATCTCATTACTGAACAGTTTTAAAATAACTTTGTGCAAATAAAGTTTTGCATTTGATTATTGGGATAATTTGACATGAACACAGTTCTGTACTTTTCATGTCTTGAATTTCATTTGCTACTTTAAGTTACTACATTAAGTTACCACAAGATCTTCCCATTCTTAAAACTAGCTGCAGATGCACAATTCTACCACTAGATGGAGAATGTAGACTACCATAAATGGTTACAGCATATGAAGCCATTCAGGCCACTGTACCATGCAATCAACTCCAAGAGCAATTTAGCTAATCCTTCTGCTTTTTTACTGCAGCCCTTCATATTTACACTCTTCAGATGGTGATCCATCTCGGTCCTCAAGAGCCCCCTTTGAATCAGCCTTCACCATGCACACAGATCATTCCAGATCCTGATCATTTGTTGTGTAGAATTTTCCTCATGTATGTTTCGGTCCTTTGGCCAATTATTTCAAATTGGTGCCCTACAATTCTCAACCCTTCTGCCCATCGGAATGATTTCAGCCGACACACAGCATTAAGGAAACCTTACTCAACATGGTCTTCGAGAGCAGGAAATGCCAGCTTCTCTAATCTATCCTTCTACCTAAAGTCTTCCACCCCTGGAACTATTGTCACAATTCTCTGCCTTACCTTGTTCAAAGCAGCAACACATTTTCCTAAAGTGCTGCAACCAGAGCTGAACACAATACTCCAGTTACGAGCAAGTTGATGCGCCAAAGGCTCACCATCATTTGATGGTTTTGTGCTCCACGTCTTCCCATCACAAAGCTGAAGATCCAACACGGTCAACCTTCAACGGGCTCTGCACTCCCAGGTCCTTGTGCACCTGCATTTCTTCTCCACCCCCATCAGTATCATGCGCCTTCTTATTTTAAACTGCTTCCTCTTGATCATTCTATCAAAATTGTACTACCCCACATCCAGAATCACCAATAACTTGACAATCAGCATCACTGCCCAGTTCAGAGAATAACCAAATTCATTCTCCCCAAAACACCACAGAATATTCACTGGTAGTTTTGTGTTGCCCCACCCCCCACTCCACCCTAATCTCTGCATTTCCTCCCCTCATGCTGCAGCCCCCCTACAGTGGAGTTGGACAGTGATCTGAGTAGACTAATTGATGTTAAATGGCAGGTGTACCCCAAGACGATCAATTTGACAACTAGCACCGCAAGAAACAGGAATGATTTTCAACCCTAGATGGTTCTCGTTTAAAAAGGGCTCAGAATGGCAACTGCTGTATTTAATATGATCAATGTGTGAAGGAGGTGCATGGATGCTTCCAAGGAACTGGTTGACTCCCAACAGGTTAAGGCACATTGACAAGCAAGCAGCAGCAGCATTTTACCCAATGTCCGTGAGTTAGATATTTTTTAATAAGAGAACAAAGTGAATCGTTTACGATCAGCTATTGAAAAAATATATTATAAGCTTGCATAAACCATGCCGATATATTTCAATAAGAGGGAGTAAAATTATGTGTTTGCCACAATGTACTCTCAGACTTGATACTGGAGGCATATTCAGTTCATCTTTGTTTACCTATTCATATGTAAACTAATTATGTTCCGCAGATTATTGCAAGCTATCTTATGAGCATGATGACAGTCCAACAGTCAGTTTCTTCAGGATGTTCTAATGCTGAGACCAATTAATATTTTTTAGGTCCACTCCCTCCTGTACCATCTCCCAGAGAGGACTGCAAGAGAGGGAAAAACAAAAAAAAGGGAGAGACATTAAAACTCACCAGCTTCCTTTCAAAATAAAAGGATAAACTGGCATTGGTTAACAAAAGCAACACCTCACCTCATCTCCCTCAGCCTCTGCACATGCTGGATGCACTTCTCTGCAGTGTAATCCACCTCCTCCTCCGTTGTGAAACGCCCAATCCCAAACCTGCAAATAAAGAGACAGCGTCACACAGCATGCAAGTCTTGTACACTAGAACAAGTATAAAAACAAGTGTGATCCTCCTAGAAAGCAGTTCTGGATGCAGACAGTGACAGGAAGGGAAAGAACAAAATAAGAATTTTTGACACAGGATTATAGTCGCTATATAAAACATCCCACATTTAAACACATTGAGTGTTAAATTTTCTTCAGCTGCAATGGAGATATGTCCCCATTTCCTAGGGATGGTTAAATAATCTGACAAATCTCAAGGTCAAGTCTCATACAGGTATTTTCATTTGGGCAAAATATCTCAGGCAGTCATTGCAACATGGTTCACTGCTTTCAGAGGATGGGAGCAGAAATAAAATATTTTTTAAATGGAAATTCAGGCACTATACTCAGGACTGAATTAAAAAAAAAAATCAAAAAAAGTTAGTGGGTGATGTAATTAAGGTGTTCACGGTGATCAAATACATGAATAAGGTAGACCAGTGCAGCATGGTGCTGCAGAACAATATGAATATTTGGTGTTCACCTCTAGAGAACAGAGGGACCTAGGGGTCCAGATATATAAATTCACAGACAGGGCAGTTAAAAAGGCTTTTGGCACATGCGCCTTCATTGCTCAGTCCTTTGAGTGTAGGAGTTAGGAAGTCATGTTGAGGTTGTACAGGACATTGGTGAGGCCTCTTCTGGAATACTGTGTCCAGTTCTGGTCGCCCAGTTATAGGAAGGATATTATCAAGCTGGAGAGGGCTCAGAAGAGATTTACCAGGATGTTGCTAGGTATGGAAGGTTTGTGTTATAAAGAAAGGCTGGGACTTTTTCCACTGGATTGTAGGAGGTTGAGAGGCACCCTGATAGAAGTTTATAAAGTGATGAGGGATGTAGATTGAGTTAATGGTAGTTGTCTTTTACCTAGGATGGGGAATTTCAAGACTGGGGAGCACATTTCAGAAGGTGAAAGGAGAGCGATTTAAAAAAAAGACATGAGAAGCCAATTTTCTTTTTTTAAAAAGAGGATGGTTCACATGTGGAATGAACTTCCTGAGGAAGTGGCAGATGCGGGTACAACATTTAAAAGACATTTGGATAAGTACATGAATAGGGAAAGGTTTGGAGGGATATAGGCCAGCAGTAGGCAGGTGGGACTAGTTTAGTTTAGGATTATGTTCAGAATAGGCTGGTTGGACCAAGACATACACCATGGAAACAGACCCTACGAGGGGCTGCATGCAATATTCTCTATTCTCAAAGCACTTAATTCAATAGACTATGATTGCTTTCTCATAATGAAGCCAAATATCCATAAAGAGAAAGGAAGACAGGGAGCAAGGGAACCACCTTAAACTATACCTGATTGAGGAGTGTGCCAAATCTTCATCAGCACCAATTGCTCGCAGCACGTAGGAAGGTTCAAGAGAAGCTGATGTGCAGGCACTGCAAATGAAACAAACAATGCAGCAATAATAAAGAACCATGACCATGAGGTAAATCTAAAAAATGCTACTGTGACCACAAGTCCTCGTGTATATTGATAAGATTTACATTAATTGTTGCAGGGGAGGTGCCGGCCGGCGGGGCGGTGGGGGGGGGGGGGGAGGAGGAGAGACTCCGTGCGCGAGAGCAAGAAGGAATCTTTAAATGTTCAGAGGAATATAAAACAGGAAGGGTGCATTACATTTACCGAGAAAAGAAAACTAACGACCTAGACCTCCCTGGCTGCACAGTTTCTAAAGCCAATCAATAAATGAGCAGCAGAGATCTGGAGACTCCAGATTCAACCTTCTATTCAGAGATGACTCATCTTAGTGCAGTAATGAAATTTGAAACAGTTACAACTGTTACAATTACAGTTACAATTTTCTTTTTTTAAAAAGAGGATGGTTCACGTGTGGAATGAACTTCCTGAAGTGGCAGATGCGGGTACATGCAGGTATAACATTTAAAAGACATTTGGATAAGTACATAAATAGGGAAGGGTTTGGAGGGATATAGGCCAGCAGTTGGCAGGTGGGACTGTGAAAACTGTTCATGTTTGTATTTACCCTTCATTAATCCCATGTACTTTACTCCCCATTTTCAACCAGCTACCTAAAATAATTCATTGTTGACATGTTCTCTGCTGTAACTACCAACTTTGGTCATTTATTTCACAGATTCTCAACCCTGTGTAGAAGGAGAAAAAGATGCACCTCATTGTAAAAAAATTCTACATTTAAGCTTGTTGTCATCCATCACCCACTAGATGGTTTGTTTAATCAATCCTATCCTGTCACTTTTTAAACATTTCAATTCAAACACTCCACAAGCACCCATGTTCAGATATAAACAGTGCTAATTATTCTGATAAAAATGCAACAATTGTAGGGGCTGCTCTTGTAAGATGAGGAGATACACCAGTTGAGGTTGGATGGCTCACTAAGCTGATTTGTTGTTCCGCAGATGTTTCGTTACCATGCTGAGTAACATCATCAGTGCAGCCTCCGATGAAGCGTCGGTGTGTTTTCCCGCCTGGTCTTTAAACTGAGTCCATTGAGCTGGATTACCTCACTTCCGGTTTTCCTTCGTAGTCGAGTATATTTGGGGTCGAGTTCTGTGTTTTTAATAATGGCTTTCTTCATGGAGTGCCAGGCTTCTAGGAATTCCCTTGCCTGTCTCTGCTTAGCTTGTCCCAGGATCTTGGTGGTTCTCCTTATCCACGTGGATTGAGAGGAGGGAGTATTGGTCGTGTCTTTCTGTAGCCAATTGGTGTTCGGGTACCCTTGTTGTTAGTTTCCTTCCTGTTTGTCCGATGTAGTGCTTATCGCTGTCTCTGCAGGGGATCTTATAGATGACACTGGTCTTGTCCATGGCGGGGAGTGGGTCTTTAGTTCGGGTGAGCAGTTGTCATAGGGTTGATGTGGGCTTGTGTGCCACTCTGATGCCCAGCAGTCAGGCAGGAAAACACACTAACGCTTCATCGGAGGCTGCACCAAGGAGGTTACCCAGCATGGTAACAAAATGTCTGCGGAACAAACCAGCTCGACGAGCCAACCAACCTCAACACCCACAACCCAAGCTACAAATCTACTCCAAAACCTTCGGTACCCCAGTTGTAGAGAAGCTGTTTCCAATTTTTTTTTTGTGGTGGGTAGAGGTGTCTGTGTGCATGTGCGTGTCATGACAATATGGGGTTCAATATAAGATAATTCCTAAATCCAATAAGAATTTCAGAGAAAGGCAGAGAGAAGGTGGAATAGTTCAGGCCAACAAAAGACGCATGGAGGCGGGGGGGTGGTGGGGAGAGGTGCAGAGAAAGAACAAAGGAAAAAGAAATAGAAGACAATAGGAATCAGATTAGATGAGGTGGAAGGTCACTTACTGTGTCATTCCACCAAAATAGAAGAATTGGGCAGAATGGTATATTTTAAAAATTGCATGTAAAGATTTGCTTCTTATGGCCGAAACAATTTTTTTCATATTTTTCTTCCAAGGCAAACTAATGTATCACTGTGTGCTGTTACTGTTATTCTGTGCAGTTCCGGTCACAACACAGGAAGGATGTCAGCCCTGACAGAGTTCAAAAGAGGTTTATCAGGGCATTGCCTGGATTGGAGTGTATTAACTATAAGGAGAGGTTGCACAGACTTCAATTGTTTTGACTACAGCAGTGGAGGCTGAGGGGGGTGACCTGATAGAAATGTATAAAATTATGATTGGCATGGATAAGGTAGACAATTGGAGTCTTTTTCCCTATGGTAGAAATATCAAGTATTGGGGGACATAGGTTTAAAGTGAGGTGAGGTAAAGTTTAAAAGGAGATATGAGGAAATTTTTTGTTAAAAACACAGATTGAGGTGGGTGTCTGGAACGTACTGTCAGATGAGGTGGCAATAATACGATAAGCAATACCTAAGAAGCATTTAGACAGAAATGAACAGGCAGATGGGATTAGTTTAGAATGACATCATGGTTGGCACAGACATGGTGAGCTGAAGAGCCTGTTCCTGTGCAGTATTATTCTATGTAATACTAAACCAAATCCAAATTTAGAAATTGTATGGACTTAGGGTGTTTGAGTGTGAGTTCTCAGGTGCCTAGCTCTGGATATTTGGATAGACAAAACTCAAGGACAGCCATATAGACTACCTTCCCGATGAGAGAGCTACATCTTTCAAAGCCATCAGCAGACTCTCTCCTTCCACATATGCAAACGACAGGTTAATGCAGCCTGCAAAATAAACAAACATTTATTAGGACTGTGCCAGATCATAATCAATTAGCAATTTGAGAAATAAAAACTTGTTCTCAACTGTGGATTTAACAAAACAAAAATCATTAATGGGACATCACTGTCACTGGCTGGAGCAGCATTTATTATCCATCCCTAGTATCCAAAGCAAGGCATTGGGATGATAAATCAATTAAAGCAGTGAATGTCCCCAACTCCATAACATCCATTTCCAGCTTTTGGAAAGACTGAGTGAGCAAAGATTTAGTTTTTAAAATTAGGAAGCAATAGAGACAAGAGGATATTAAAAACAGTGGCAAAACAGAGGATGCAGGCCTATCATTTTCCCTTCCCTATTCTTGACTGTAAAATTGTACAATTTGTGATGTATACTAACTTAAAAGGCACTAAATGGATGCAAATAGTTTTTCAACTTTCAATTCTAATTATCAGTCTATACCCTAAACAGACTGATCAGCTGACTATTCTGTGTTTATGTTTCTGATTTTCAGCTTTTATCATTTATCTTCTTAACTGGTCTCTGCAAACTCACTAAAGAATTGAGCCAGTTATTGTACCTGCCCTTTCCCCTCAAGTTCTCCATATGCTGGTGGAATAGCAGCCACATGGAGAGACAAATAGAATTATACAGCACAAACCAGTGGCACGATGGTAACATCACTGGCTAAGCACTCGAGAAGTACTCCAGTTAATGGTCTGGGGATGTGAGTTCAACTCTCACCGTGGCTGCTAATAGCAAAGATGTTGTTAAACCTGAAAGGGCTCAAAAAATATTGTTAGGATTGGAGGGTTTGATCTCTAGGAGAGGCTGAATAAGCTGGGGGCTAGTTTCCCTGCAGCAAGAGGTGCCAAGGGGTCACTTTATGGGCAGCGCGGTAGCTCAGTGGTTAGCACTGGGGACCCGGGTTTGATTCCTCCCTCGGGTGATCTGTGTGGAGTTTGCACATTTTCCCCTGTGTCTGCGTGGGTTTCCGTGGGGTGCTCCGGTTTCCTCCCACAGTCCAAAGATGTGCAGGCTAGGTGGATTAGCCATGCTAAATTGCCCTGCAGTGTCCAGGGGTGTGTAAGTTAGGTGGATTAGATATGGGAAATACAGAGTTACAGGGAACGGGTAGGGGGATGGGCCTGGGTGGGATGTTGTGGACTTGTTGGGCTGAATGGCCTGTTTCCACAGTATGAAATAGAGGCCAGTTGACCTACTGTGCTTGTGCTAGTTTGTGCACTCTCTCCCCATGAAAATACTTTTATTATATACTTGGTCACGTCACGAAATGAGATTAAATTGCTCCAGAAGAGTTGGAAACAGTCCAGATATTCTGTAAATCCTATTGCAATCTTCATGATCATACAGTAGAGTCAGTGTACCTGGATATCTCTGCTCTGCATCCCCATTCATAACCACGTCAGGGATTGCATTCATTATCTTCGTCACCAAACGTTTGGCTAGATTGGACACATGCTTATGGTCATACTGCAGGAATAAGCATAGCTCTGTTACAAAGTGTATCTGCAGAAAGCCAGCACAAAGCACTTTAGGAGATACATCAAATGTACATAGGAAAATAGAGAACCAGATTGAAAGGAGTGGCAATAACAGTGCCTCTGCATTTCTTGAAGGTGGACAGTGGATAAGGATACAAAGTATGGACACAACAGAAAACGCCAAGTGGAGGAGTGCACGTTGCTGACAAGAACTAATTATCTTTATAGAATCTCTGATTAACAATGGAATCCATGTCATTAACCAGCAACTTTCAGCTATGGACATTAGTCGTCAATAATACTGGGAAATAACCTATCAAGCTCAATCTTAGCAACAGTAGTAAAGGAATAATTTTTGTGGGTTTTCTGACATGCTGACAAACCTACAACTTCACTTCTGACACCATCATGGCAATTTAGATTAACTTGGTGGTTATGGCAAAGTCTGAAAAGGTGCCCAAGAGCAGAACTGCATTGAGCAAAGTCGCTGCTGTTAGAAATGACTGCTTTGAGGGGCTCAAGGAGGCTTGGAAGAACAGGACGATGTATGGCATTTACCAACCTTTCTAAGAAACAAACCTTGACATTATTTGACGTAGGAATGTATCAAGAAATCACAGCAGGTCGATTACACATGCACACAATACATATTTGTTTGTATCAATGGCTGAAAACATTATACAAAATATTGTCATACACCAAGACATTACACATGCACCTATCATAAAATAGGGTCTGGTGAAAATTCATTTTACTCCCTCCATTGAATTAGAATGCTCATCAACAGTTTGCTTACCTCCATCTCCTGCTGGGCTATTTCACATGCTGCCCCAAGACCAACCACCAGTGGAGTTGGAACAGTTCCCGAGCGCAAGCCTCGCTCCTGCCCCCCACCACTCTGAATGGCCTCCACTCGTACTCGGGGCCGACGGCGGATGTAAAATGCACCCACGCCTAACAGACAAAATACAAGTGTTGATCACACATCACATTGCCAAAGATAACACACTTGCAGGTAGCAACTTGCACAAAAGGCCCACATATATCTGTCATCATCCCATTCTTGCCCAACTTCCTGGATCCATGAATTGACACAGATTCTCATGTCACTAGTCTCTCCCTATCGTGCAGTGAGTTTCTAGCTGTACACATCTGAAATTAGCTGCCTATCCATTCCATATTTTATATATTTATTTTACATATGAACAGTCTCTATTTAAAAAGGGATGTGAATTGGAACGGTCTCCACCTGAATCGAGCTGGGACCAATGGTCTAGCGAAGAGGGTAAACAGGTGGGCAGGACTTTAAACTAGAAGGGTGGGGCTGGGAGGTGGGGAGCAGGGAAGGATGGTGAAACTTGCCCCAGTGGGAAACAAAGCAGTAGGTTAATATCTGTAGTGGTGGATTCAACCAAGTGGAACAATATGAAAGAAATGACAGAGAAGGAGAACTCCGGAGAGGTTATTAACATCTCCAGCACAGACACAAGTAGGACAGAGAGTGTGTCTGGAAAAGACTAGCAATCAAATACTGGAAAAACAAAATGAAAATAAGAGGGAGGGTTAATACTGGACTGAAGAGGTTATAACTAAATACACACAGTATAAGGAATAAGGTAAATGCGCTTGTGGCACAGATTGAAACTGGCAGGTATGACATGGTAGGCATCATGGAGACGTGGCTGCAAGGGGATCAGGATTGGGAACTGAATATCCAAGGATATACATCCTATCGAAAAGATAGGCAGGTGGGCTGAGGGGGTGGGTTGTCTTATTAGTGAGAAATGAAACTAAATCAATAGGAAGAAACGAAGTAGGGTCAGATGGTGTAGAATTCAGGAACTGCAAAAAAAAGTTAAAAAAAAAAATAGTTGGGGTTGTGTACAGGCCTCCAAACAGTAGTCAGCAGCTGGGGCGCAAGATACAGCAGGAGATAGAAAGAGGTGCGTAAGAAAGGCAAAGTTACAGTGATCATGGGGGATTTCAATATGCAGGTGGACTGGGAAAATCATGTTGGTAGGGGATTGCAAGAAAAGGAATTTGTGGAATGTCAACGAGATGGCTTTTTGGAGCAGCCCATGATGGAGCCCACAAGGGAACAGGCAATACTGGATTTAGTGTTGTGCAATGAGGCAGACTTGATAAGGGAGCTTAAGATAAAGGAACCCTTAGGAGACAGTGATCATAATATGATTGAATTTACTCTGCACTTTGAGGGGGAGAAGATAGAATCAGAGGTAACGGTATTACAGCTGAATAAAAGGCGACTACAGAGGTCTGAGGGAGGAGCTGGACAGAACTGACTGGAAGAGGAGCCTAGCAGGAAAGACAGTGGAACAGCAATGGCAGGAGTTTCTGGGAGTTACTCAGGAGACACAGCAAAAAATTCATCCCAGGAAAAAGAAGCATGGTACAGGGAGGAAAAGGCAGCCATGACTGACTAAGGAAGTCAGGGATAGCATAAAAGCAATACAGAAACCATAAAGTGTGGCAAAGGGTAATGGGAAACCAGAGGACAGGGACACTTAGAGACCAACAGAGGGCAACAACAAAAAAGAAATAAGGAGGGAGAAGATTAAATACGAGGGTAAGCTAGCCAGTAATATAAGAGACTGTAAGAGTTTCTTTAGGTATATGAAAAGGGGCAAAAGAAAGCAAAAAAAGGGGACATTGGGCCACTGGAAAATGATAGTAGAGAGACATAGTGGAAAACAAGGAAATGGCTCAGGAACTGAATAATTACTTCACATCAGTCTTCATGGTGGAAAACACAAGTAAAATCCTAAATATTCAAGAGAGTCAGGGGGCAGAGCAGAGTATGGTGGCCATCACCAAGGAAAAGGTGCTAGTAAAACTGATTGGCCTGAAGGTGGACAAATACCCTGGACCAGATGGACTACACCCCAGAGTTCTAAAGGAGATAGCTGAAGAGAGATAGTGGAAGCATAAGTGGTGATCTTTCAGGAATCGCTAGAGTCAGGGAGAGTCCCAGAGGACTGGAAAAAAATCACTAACATGACACCCCTGTTTTAAAAGGGAGTAAGGCAAAAGACGGAAATTTACAGGCCGATCATGTAATTCCTTCTCAGGAAGGATGTACTGGCCCTGTACTGGGTTCAGAGGAAGTTCATGAGAATGGTCCCAGGAATGGAAAGCTTAACATACGAGGAACGTTTGAGGACTCTGGAGTTTAGAAGGATTGGGCGGGGGTATCTAATTGAAACTTTCAGAATACTGAATGGCCTGGACAAAATGGACGTTGGGAAGATGCTTCCATTGGTAGGAGAGTCTAGGACCCGAGGTCACAGCCTTAGAGTAAAGGGAAGACCTTTTAGAACGGAGCTAAGGAGAAACTTCTTCAGCCAGAGAGTGGTGAATCTATGGAATTCACTGCCACAGAAGGTTGTGGAGGCCAGGTCATGGAGTACATTCAAGGCTGAGATAGATAGATTCTTGATTGTCAAGGGGGATCAAGGGTTACAGGGAGAAAGCAGGAGAATGGGGTTGAGGAACTTATCAGCCATGATCGAATGGCGAAACAGACTTGGATGGGCCAAATGGCGCAATTTCTGCTCCTATGTCTTATGGTCTTATGAATGTGTCATGGTAAGTTCACGAAATGGATACTACAAATCTGGACATTATCTTATAAAGGATAGCTTGGATACACTGGGCTTGTTTCCATTGGAGTTTAGAAGAGTGAGGGGTGATTTGATTGAAGCATACAAGATGGCCCCACCAAGGGAAACATCCTTTCTCTATTCACCTTGTCGAGTCCCAAACGAGGGACAGCTTTTACAACAAAGAATTTCTCTTCATATTTCTCATGGGGATGTGTAACTTTGGTATGCTCTACCTACCTCAGAAGGCAGAAATCAAATACTCTTAAGGCAGTGGGAGACAGATTGCTAGACAAGGGGGTCAAAGGTTGAGTGTGGATGGGAATATGGAATTAAAGGGTCTAATGATGACTGTGAATCCATTGTCAATTGTTGCAAAAACCCATGTGATTCACTAGTGTCCTTTAGGGAAGGAAGCTGCCATCCTTACCTGGTCTGGCCTATGTGACTTCAGATCCACAGCAATATGGTTAACTCTTAGTTAACCAGAGGGTAGTTAGGGGTGGGCAATAAATGCTAGCCTGGCCAGCAACCATGTTTAATCATTCCCATGAATGATTAAAAAAAAGATCAGCCACAATCTTACTGAAGGGCAGAGCAGGTTTGAGGAGCCAAAGGCAGACTTCTGCTCCTACTTTGTACGAATTCACTTTGGCTTCACTAAACGTCAGCTGAGTTTTCTGGTCTTAAAGAAAACTTCACCCTGATAGAACATCCCACGTTTGTCTTACATAGACTACTACCTTTTCCTTTGGAAAAGAGATTTTTAAGTTTTGTTGTTTGCAAATTGTACTGTAAGCTGCAAAATGGTAGTATTTAAAAAGGAGGAGTATTCCAAGCAGTTGTTACACTTGACTATTCCAAAACATTAGTTACATTGAATTCCACGCAGGAGGGTCAGGGATTGTGACAATGCTTTCACTAGGTCAATGAAAGGGAGTTCAAAGAGATGAAACAGTGCATATATGACAGAAAGCCTGACTCCATGTTAGGCATTAGCAGCAAAGTTCAGTTAAACAATAAGGGCTGTGTAGTTGGGGCTCCAAGACATCCTAAGGGAACTGAAAACCTTAGCAGTGAGGGTTCAAGAGAGTCCTAGAGGCCACAGGGAATCTCAGCAGTTTGCCATTCAACATGTTGAAAGTCCACACGTAACAATTACATAATGCAACCAATCCAAACTGAAAGTCAGGAGGGGAAAAAAAAATCCAGTAGTACTAGCTTGGTAAAATTAACTGCTTGTGAAAAGCTGGAGTTGTGCCTGTTAGTGCATAAAAATCCAGGGGAGCTTAATCTTGAGAAAGGTAGGTGGCTCAGAGTGTGATCAATTATTGAGAGTTGCTTTTGAGGAAGTTAACAAGATTGCCGAGAGAAGTGTTTGATTGAATGTGAAAATTGATGCATTCTGTGGAATGACTGACCAGTGTCTATTACTCATACTTGCCTCGTGCTAAATTTGCAATGTTAGAATACAATCCATATCTATCTTTTCAGAGGGTAACAATTTCTTTTAACAATCAATCTTTGTAACTTGTGTAGGTTTTATTTACAATAAACTAGTTATTCCTTATGGTTAAAGGAGACCTGGCTGAATGGTTTCTAATTCTAAACTAGATACAAATCTAAAAAAAAAGAGATAGAACTGGTCATGTCACCATTCTGGTCATAGTAAAAAAATGATGATCAGTGGAGGAATGGGACTAGAATGGAGTCAGCACATCCTCCAACAATGTTGATTATGACAAGTGCCTCATGTGATTTGTGGAAAGCAAAAAAAAAACTTGCACTTTATAGCATACCGACTTACAACCTCAAGCAACATATTAAAATCTGCACACAATCATGCTTTATTACAGAAATAATCAGACAGTAGTCACATCAGCATGTCAGTCTGAAATCTGAAAACATTCCAAATTGGCAAGGTTCCTTGATCTAACAATTAGACTCCGTATGATCGCAGAGAGTCTTTACCTCAAAAGATTTGGTTTCTGGCCTTAAAAGGAACAGCTTCAATACAGGTCATATTTGGCAGAATACATATTAAGTACTATATGATTTAATAATATAGTCATTAAAACAAACTATTTCCAGATTTACCAAGAGCAACAGAATGGGAAATACCAATTGATGCACAAACAGAATTAAAAATAGGTTAAGCACAAAAGTCTCCATAACTGAAGTGAACTTAAAACTCACCCCCCAACCGTTTCAAATATCATTAGTTGCAAGATAACACTGTTACATAAAAGTAACAACACAACTGAAACTTAATGATGGCATACAGCTTGCAACTGATGAACTTTTAATTGAATTCAAAAGAACTTATACCTTTAGGGCCATAGATTTTGTGGCCACTGATAGACATTAGATCAATCTTCATTTTGTTCACATCGAGAGGAATTTTTCCAACAGCTTGAGCAGCATCCGTGTGGAAAAATACTTTCCTAGCTTGGCAAATGCGACCTGCAATGAAAAAACAAACAAAAAAGAAAAGAAAAGGTGGTCTATGAACAGATAGAAAGACCTGAACCTGAGTACTGTGCAGCTCATCTTAATTGCTGGCTCGCAAACAAACTATTTGTTCTTGGCAATTCATTTTCTCTCCTTTGTTGAAGGCATTGCCAAGTTGCTAATGCACAGTTTCAGCGAACCCAGGAACTCTCCTGTGACTCAAGTGATCACCCTTTACACGAAAGTCCACACAGCGAGTCAGAGCCTGGCCTCGTGCAGTGAGCACAAACATGCCTCCTTCAGCACATGTTCAGAGGTTGCAATCAGGAGCAGGAATCCCACTTGATTTTATTTGCTCCCCAGCTCAGATCTCTTTCCACCAACTCGAAGAGAGTCTCAGGGAAAACATTTCATTTGAAACACATCACATTAATTTGAGAGAAAAAAAAAAATCAGCATTGAGTCAAACTGTCCATTCCATGGACATCTAGTGGTGAGTTAAGTCTTCCTGCTCGGACTATTTAATTGGAGTCTCAGACTGCCATTATAAACAAAGGGGTTCTGCTCTCAGTGGGCATTCAGAACCTATGGGACTATTCTGAAGGGCATCAGAGCTCTTCCTGGTGTCCTGGCCAATATATTTATAACTGAAATCAACAATCACAGAAATACAGTATCTGGTCGTCACCACATTATCGACTTTAGGACACTGCAAATAAACTGTTGCACTTCCTACATCACCGCTGTGACTATGAAGGATTTTGAGATGGCCCGAGGTCTTGAAAGGCACTAAATAAATCAAAGTTATTTTTGTCTTACTTACTCATACCTGAAAGAAAAAGAAGCTGTTGTGACACATTGAGTTCGTCCAGTGAGCAACTGTGACATTCAGACAGAGGTACAAGAATTGGTTTATACAGAGTTAGCTTCAATGACACAACAAATTGTTCTGTGACCAAAGTTAAGGAAGTTATAGCAGCCAGCAAAGGTGTATGCTCCTAAACAATATTTAATCCTTTCCACATAATATAACATGCAATTTAGTTTTGATACTGTATAAACCATGCTTACACACCTATCTCATCTACAGGTTGCTTGACTCCAATTTCATTGTTCACAGTCATTATTGACACCAAACTAGTATCTGGTCGAATTGCCTCTTCGAGTTCCTGGTTAAGAAAAATCCCACAGTTAGAACATGAAAAAGCTATTTTACTTCCCTCCAAAGTTACCCTCTAACAAACTGCAGTGGTGATCTAATTAGCTTTACAGTCTATCCTTCAGCTGATGAAGATACTGAAGAGTTGAATTTTTAATCCAGCACAATGTGAGATGACAGCAACTGAAAGATTTTCATAGGTACAACTCTTGCCATTAGCCAGAAGGTTGTAAGATCAAGTCACACTGCAGATTCATATAACCCAGGCTTTAGTAAAATATTCAGAGAATCTGGGTGTCACTGGCTAGTCAGTATTTACTTCCCATCCCTAATTGTCCAGACAGCAGTTAAGAGTCATATGGTCTGGAGTCACATGTAGGCCAGGCTGGGAAAAAAATTGGCAATTTTCTTTCCTTAAAAAAAGGACATTAGTGAACCAGGAGGAGTTTTCTGACGACTGACAATAGTCAGACTCAATTCCAGATTTTTATTGAATTCAGCTTCCACCATCTGCCGTGGCAGGATTCAAATCGAGGTCCCTGGAACACTAATCTGGGTTCTGGATTAATAGTCTAGCAATAATACCACTTGGCTGCTTTTTCACAGATTGTCCACTCTGCAAGCAATGAGGTGCTGTCAGGAGTCTATAACCTATATTGACTCAAATGTCAATTCTTTCAGAAAATATCTGCTGGAAAATACTGTCACAATTACAACCTGCCTTTAAATCTACAAGTCCATTGGTCTTCACTGGCAAATACGTCACTTCAAAACCCTCAGTCTCAAGCATGCGGCATGAATCCAATACACACTTATGTTCTGTCTGGCTTGTGATAACGTGCTTCTTCTTGGCTTTATAAAACCTTGCAACACCCTGGTAATAACAAAAGAAAGAAATAAATCTCAACTTCTGTAAGTTGCAGAAATATTACTTGATCAAAATGGATCACCAGTTAAAGAGCTACACAAAATATAGTAATACTTCAAATATTAAAGTGTCTTGGAGATCACAGCAGGTCAGGCAGCATGCATGGAGACAGACAGCAAGTCTAGCTGACAGACTTGAAACGTTAGCTTACTTTCTCTCCAATGGATGCTGCTTGACCTGCTGTGATTGCCAGGATTTGTTGTTTTCAGTTCAGATTTCAACATCTGCAGTAATTTGCTCTTAAACAGTACCTTGCTTTTCTTTTTAGACAGCGAGTAATAAAGGCTTAAATTAGGAGGTCAGTCTTTATTTCTTCGAGTATAGATTAAGGGTTGATCCGACTGAGATGGCTAACATAGTAATTACTCTATTTACTCTTATTGGGGAATCCAGGCCATTAGGTCATTACCTTTCAATGAGAGCTAGGCTGTTTTGAGTCATGTTAGGAAGCACTTCATGAAAAATACAGGGTTCTCGCGACAAAAACTTTGAGGCTGGGGTCAATTAAAAAAATTCATAATGGAGACTGACCAATTTAATTAGCTAAGAACTATGAAACCAATGGAATTCAGGTACACAGCAGCCATAATCAAGCAATCTTGCCAACTCTATTTTATTTAAATACCATGGCCCAGCTTGGCAAAACAGGACAAGATCTAGCCCAAACATTTTAATATGACAATGCATCAGAATTCCTACCACTTGCTGCGTAAACCCAAAGTAGAGTATGATGTTAAACATGTAACAAGATGTCAGAGAGATTAATTATTTCATCCTTGAAGATGAAGATCAAAAGGCCTTCCTCATCTGCTGTGCTGCTTGGATTTCTCTGCATGATAAGCAAACCCAATGCCAACATTTACCAATAACACAAGCTGTTTCACAAAACATTTAGCATACTTTCAGATTTCCTGAGATGCTATATAAAGGCATAACCTCTTTCTGCCTCTCAAATTCAATAATTCAGGTCAGTCTTCACCGAATTGTAAATTAATTAATTATCAGCACAAGTCATCTTTTGGTCCAAAACACAGATGCAACACATGAGGCATAAAAATGTGACATTAAGAAAAAAAATTCAGAATCTCTGAAAAAAAAACATACAAAACAAGTCTACACCTTCCATATTTCTAGAAATGGTGAATTGAAGAGTCAGGAAAGTCATTTCATAAAGCAGTTGACTGATTAATGAAATGCTGCTAATGCTTAAAATAAAAAGGTGTAATCACATATTTACTCTCAGCTTTGCACAAATCAATCCTATTACTTCACATTTGACCACAATCAAATGCTGCATATTTGACCTCGCTGAAGTAAGATAGAATCTATTGAATCTGAATGTCAGTTAAATTCTTCTCAAAACCAAAGAAGTCAGTACAGAAATCCTAGTAATGATAAAACAATGATTCAGGTTAATACGTTAACTATTGCATTTCACAAAGCTCACATCCTGTCAACAGGCAGATTGACCATCAAGGGAGATCAGATTTTCAGCATTCCAAAGCAAGGATAGACATAAATTTGCATGACACCAATCAGAAAAACTTACCTTGATGGCAATGTTGTTTGACTCTGTAGCACCACTGGTGAAGATGACTTCTCTGGGATCTGCGCCTATCAGGTTAGCTGTTTGCTGCAATGATTGATTTGGTCAAAAATAAGACTACAAACTAAATTAACAACTTAATTTATATCCAATTAGCTCACAAAAAAGAACATCCTTAAAAAGGTGCCTTAAAATATGCATTTCAGACAGCTCAGACTAAAAGGAACACATTTAGTCTCATAACTTGATCAAGCAAATTACACGAGTATTTCACAGGTCAGTTAACAGCAAAAGAAGCATTTCAACTTTGAACACAGCATGGAGGCCATTCTCCTGAAATCACATACTTTGATCCTTAACCAGAATTTACTGACCGCTGTTCAAGTACTTGTCCAACGTAATTTTAAAATTATTGATGGGATCAGCTTTTCAAGTAGACCACTCCAGATCCTGACAAACCTAGTGGAAAAATCTCATCATTCCTCTCGATCTTTTGCCAATGACTTTAAAATATGACCGCTGGTTGTTTACCTGATATTCTGAAGAACCTTCTCTCCCGCAATTGGAAGTGGAGAAATTAAGAACAGAATTAAAACTCTTCAGGAAAAATAATTGTATGTCAGTGGCTGAAATAAGCTAGGAGAGAAAACAACGAATTGTTTAGAAACTTGCCTCAAAGCTTTGATCGCAACTGCCAAGGGCAAGAAAAGCGATTACTTGGCCTCAGTTAATGCATGTAAAATGAGACTTAGAAAGGAGAAAAAAGAAAAAGGAGCTACAGAATCAGTTTTTCCTGTCTACAACCTCCCATGGCACCTCAAATATCAACCAAACATAAGAATATAAGACAGGAGAAACAGTAAGCCATGCTGCCTATTGAGCCTGCATTCACATTAAATAAGATCATGCTGGTCTCCTTCAATTCCACTTTGCCACCATTTCCACACCGCTGGATTTCTTCAGTTCAAAAATCTATCCGTATCAAATCTAGAATAGGTAATCACTTTGATTCAATGGGCTCTGGGGTGGCTGATGAGTCCAATGTATAATCTGCAGACTGCCATGTGTGGCAGATGGTACTCGAAGGGTCAGGCAGATGAGTTGGTTGGAGATTTGCTCTCTCCAACACTTCAATTTCATAACTGCATGCTCCCAAAGTCTCTCAATGTATTCAGCATCTTCCCAAATAAACCTTATTCTTTTCAGCCAATGTCTCCCAAGAGTTCGTGGGATGTTTGATCTCCTCAGGAATGTTGAGGAGATCTCTTATTCTCCTGGGAGCCTGGTGTCATGCATATGAATGCCATATCTCACCTTGCAGTTGGTTTTGAATGACTAATGCCTCATGCCTCAATAGTGGGCAAGACAGCTTCAGAGGTCTCTACTGTTGGGTTGCCTTTCTGGTCATTGGATTTGGAAGATTCTCTAGAGGCACCAGGGATGATACTTCTGGCCTTCAGATAGTCTTTTGCTCAATTGGTTGAAGTCTGAGCTGGTAAATTGGAAGAGATGATGAAGTTTTCTTCTACATGCATTATCTGAGACCAAGTAATCTCTTTCCTGGCCCTTGGCAATTGTGATCCAAATTTGGGACAAGTTTCTAAAACAATTCATTTTTTTTCCTTCTGGCTTACTTCAGCCATCAACATACAATTTTTTTTCCCTAAAGAGTTTAGTTTTGTTCTTATTTTCTCCACTTCTAATTGACAGAATGCTCCTAAAGTTACAGAGGATATACTCTGAAGGAATCTCAACTAAGATCCCATCTTCAACTTGAAAGCCTTCAACTCAATTCCTCATCCCCCATTTCTACCCCAATCCTGACCCAAAGTGAAAAAGCCACTAATCAGATGAAAAACAACAAGGACTCTGGAGGTGAAATAATCATAGGAACATACGTTCAGGAATAGGCAATTCAGTCCATGGCTGCTCCACCATTTTATATGATCACAACTGGTTGAAAACTTCAATGCCTCTCTTCCCTTCCCACCCCAATAACTTTCATCATCATTATTAAAAAAAAAAAATGCCAACATCCTCTTTAAATACTTAAGGAAGGAAATCAACCATTGTTATTTTGTCTAGCCTACATGTGACTCCAGATCCACAGTATTACGGATGACACTTTAGTGTCGTCTGGAAGATTAGGGATGGACAATAAGTGCTGGTCAAGCCATCCATGAACGAATAATTAACAAATAAAACTTGCATATTAGACTCCAGTGACTTATTGAAAATGACTGCTAAGTCTCTTTGCACATTACACTTCCCAACCACTGACAAGAAATTTTCTGTACATCTGTTTCACCTACCAAAGTGAACAGCCTCATTTTATTCCATAAGCCATATTCTCCCCCATTCAGACTGTCCAAATCCTCTTGAAAAAAATCTTACATTCCTCCACCATCCCCCTACACTGATCATTGTAGTACCCACCTAGCCACAGTCTGCTGATTCAAGATTGAGCCATTTGTTCCTGTGCTGTTTTCTGTCCATTAGCTAATCCTTAATCCAGGCCAGTACATTACCTCCTATCCCATGTGCTTTAATCTTTCTACCCAGCCTCCTGTGGGGGACATTAAAAGCCTTATGAAAATCAAAACATACATTGTCCATCTACTCCTCTTCATCAATTTTGTTAGTAACATTATTAAAATCCCTGTCAGAAGTCCGGGAATGGGAGTAAATGCCGAGAGATTTCAGGGATGCTGTGATTGTGACTCTCTTCAAGAAAGACAATTCCAATTGCAGCAACTACAAAGGTCATTTCCCTGCTGTCTGCCCAGAGAAGATCATTCCCTAATATCAGTGTAGTTTTCACCCATCTACGGGTATCACAGATATGATCTTCACCACACAGCAAATGCTATAGAAAAGCATGGAACAGCACCAACCACTCTACACGGCCTTTTCTTGAAAAGCCTTTCACTCTAACCACAAAAGCTTATGGAGCATCCTGCTCAAATTTGGCTGTCTTCGTAAATTTTATTCTCCACCATAATGAAATGCGAGCTGTGATCATTACCAACAGAAGGACCATAATCTCAGAAGAATGGGTCAAACATTGTTGTGCCTTTGCAGACATCTTCATTTTCTTCAATGCAACATTGCAACTCATGTCCAGAAAATTATCCAGAAGCATGGAGAACACACAGGAAACTCTGACCTACATTACCTTCAACCCAATACCAGAACTACTCCAAATTCAGTCAGAGCCTCAGAATTCAGATGACCCTGTGTGTTCACTCACAAACTCCCTCCAATTCATTTTGAAACCCTTCTCCAAGGCTATGAGAAAGTGAGTCTTTCACTAAACATAGTCTTCCAACCAGCTCTTAAAACATGAAATTTCACTCTTAATTAAGATCAATAGCAAGATGATAGAGAATCTAGACCATTTTCCATTTGTTTGGAGCCTTCACTTGATGAAGGCAATGATGGAAAGTCCACGTTGAATATGCTTCACAACTGAGCATTCAGAGTCCTCTGGGTAAACAATTTCAAACATTCACAGCCCTCTGACTAAAGACGTTCCTCCAAATCACACTTGGAAATGGCCAATCTCTTAACCAGAGATTTTGACCCCTTGTTTAAGTTAGGTGAGGCAGCTTCTCAATATCCATTATTTCAAGACGTCTAGGTTTTTGTTTTAATGTTTTATTGAAGCCGCCTCTCAGTCTTCTGAACACCAGGGAATTAGGTCTATTGTTCTCAATCTCTCGTGCTTGCTATAGCACCCAAATAAAAAGAATCCACTAGAAATTAAACAGCAGATACATCAGTTTCTAGGCAAAACATTGGCTTATTCACATGCACTGGGGCATTTTAAAGTTTCTAATTAGGAAAATCAAAGGAGAACAGAAAACTAACAATGTCTATGATGAGGGCGATAAGTAAATATGAGGCAATGGCTGCCAGCAGCACTCAATCATGAAGAGACTACCTTCAAAAAACCAAAAATCTTTCCTTGCCCCAGAAAGGAAGGAGAGAAGCCTTACAGGTCTCTGCTAAAGTCAAGACCTGAATGCTGATTGTACTTTAACTTTTTTGGACAAATATTTAAGATTGCAACACTACTACAGCAGTTAGGGCCAGCCAATTGTTTAAATAGAATGTTTTCACAGCTTCAGCACAAAAATCTACCTTTCTGGCTTTCTCCACTGCGGCTTCACTCTCCCAGCCATAAGCATGCGTTCTTGAATGAGGATTGCCGTAAGCGTTGACAAGGTAGGGAAGCATCGCGTCCAACACTCTAGGATCCTAAGAATTAATTCAGTCACTTAAACAAGGTGGAAACGTACCACGAGTTACATCAGGAGGCTTCGAAGAGTTACATGAGTATGCACCGCACTTCACTGGTTTGGCGACAAGACTCTCAACAGCTGTATCTAATTTACTGTTTTAGAAGTTTACTGTGCACAGATCAGTTGCTGCATTTTCCCACAGAAGAAGCAACAGGACTGTCATGTGTGAAGGCTTTTGGGTATGTTCAAAGGATATATTTTAAGAATAAAGGAGGATGGTAGACAAAGGCAGTGACCACATGGGAAGTGATTCAAACAAGGGAAGATTACTGTCTGACCCAGCAGAGACTCTGCACAGCTACTGCTACTGCTACTGTTGTTTGATTTAAGTATCTCTGGACATCAGAGTTCATCTAAGAAAAAGTAACAAACAGCAAAATTCACAGCTTGGAGAAACCTGTTGGGACAGCTCACAGCAGGGAGCAGCTAAATAGCCTTTTAAAAAGTGTAACCTTACTGTTTATTTTGTAACGCTACAATACTGAGTAGAGTAGAGTAGGTTCTTTTTTGATTATAATGTTTTATTGAGATCTGTCCCTCGATTAAACTTTAAAAATATAAAAACTTAGGTAATGAGTTAGCCTGGAGCAATGTTTTTTTGAGCAGTAAGACTGTGCTATTTTCTAGGTATGTAGATTGTTAACGTGCAAAGATGGCCTTTAGCAGAGTGACGTGCCTTCCTGTCAGATGTGGGAGATTAGGGAGAGTTTCCATGTTACTGATGATTATGTCTGCAGGAAATGTATTTGGTTGCAAATCCAATCAGATCATACAGATCTGTTGGACCGGCAGTTAGAGGCAATGAGGAATTGTACAGGAGCTAGGGCGTGTGATGGATGGCAGTTGTACGAAGGGTGAAAAACCACAGAAAGTCAGGTGGATAGGTTACCTCCAGGCAAGGTAGGACAGGGAGGCAGGTAGTGCAGGAGTCTCCTGTGGCTATCCCCATGTCAAACAAGTATGCTGTTTTGGAAAATGGAGGGAATGATGGACACTCAGGGGAACGTAGCACGGACAGCCAGGTTTCTGCTACCAAGACTGGTTCTAATGTAATGAGGGATACATCAGGTTCCAAGCGGTCGATTATGATAGGGGACACTCTAGTCAGAGGCACAGACAGACAATTCTGCGGCTGTCAGCAAGACATCAGAATGGTGTGTTGCCTCATGGTACCAGAATCAAGGATCTCTCAGAGAGGGTGAAGAATATTCTCAAAGGGGAAGAGAGACCAGCAGGCGGTTGTTGTACATGTTGGAATTAACAAATATAGGAAGAGAAAAGGATTAGATTCTGAGGACAGAATATAGGAGGTCAGGCAGGAATTTAAAAACGAGGTCCTCGAGGGTATATCTGGATTACTCCTGGTGCTATGAGCTAGTGAGGGTAAGAATAGAAT